TTTATGAAAATTAATAAAATATAATTATAGGAAAAAAAAACAAAAAAAAACCAGAAAGTCTTGGGTAAGGAGGTTGAAAAGCAAGAAATGTGGAATGAAATTTAAACATATAAAAATAACTAGGCTTACTGGATGGATAGAAGCTGGTGGACTCCCTGAGAATATGTCCTTTAATCTCTCTTGAACCTGTAGTGAAACTCATCCCTATGGTTTGGTAGCTATGGTGGCATAATGGTAAGAATCTTCGCTGCAATGCTGAAGGCCAATGGTTCAAATCCACCCCCTGCTCCATGGGAGAAGGATGGGCAATCTCCTCCCGTGCAATTGTCTCTGAAAACCAGCTGGATGGTCAGCTATGGGTAGGTTCCAGCTCAGTGGTACTCAACAACAACAAATGGCTGGTGGTAAGAAACTGTGTGTGCTGCCCACCTGCAGCCATGTGGTTTGAATCCCCCAGCTGTTCCGCAGGAGAAAGATGGGCAATCCCCCCCTGTGTGATTTACTACCTCTGAAAATCCATTGAAGGTTCAGCCAAGGGTTGTCTTGATGGCACATAATAACAAAATTCCGTAAAGTTAGGCCAGTGGTCTTACTTTCTATTTTAGTACCTTTCTTTTTGAGTTTCTATCAAGGAAAAGCAAGTATGATAAATAGTTATGTATTCTTGCTTTATCTTTGAATTTTAATTCCTCTTAGTTTTTGTTCTAGAAGAGTTGTAGTTTTTGTTTCATCTCCAAACTCTAAGAAGACTGTTCTAGAACCCAATTTGTTTTACTGTGGCTTCTGATCAAATCAGGAACAAATGTAGATTCACTGAGAATAAGAACCATCTGCCACATGATAGATACATGATCTCTCATGAAAAGCAAACATGTACCATCAAATGTGTATTCAAGGATAAAGAACACTCAATACCTTATAAAATTCACTTCCTCATCATTTATCACAAAAAGGAAATTAAAGTACCCATTTAAATAAAATTCTATTCTTGCATCCTGTGTAATAACTCCACTATACTCATTGTCATCAAATTAGAACTGACTCATAGCTGATCCTCCATAGGGTTTTAGAGGCTATGTGGAAACTATAGAACAAAATCATTGATTTCAGATACAAGCAAGATTCTGCTGAAGATTATCCTAAAAAGACTGGATCAGCACATCAGCAGAGAACTGCCAGAAGTCCAGGCTGGGTTTAGAAGGGGTCATGGTACTAGGGATATTGTAGCTAATGTTAGATGGATCTCGGCTAAAAGCCAAGAGTACCAGAGTAATGTATATCTGTGTTTCATTGATTATGCAAAG